CATTAAGACTAGTTTTAAATTGTGCAAAATACAGTTACATATTTGAATCCATTTGATTTTAGTCATCTGTAAATAAATATAAGACAAATCAGTGTACCCACCTCGTAGTCGTAGATGGTAGTTACGAATAGTATAAAAATAGAAAACACATGTGTAATATTTGATATGTATGTACCTTTGTATGCACACATGTAACATGGTTTAAATACAAACACAATTACTGTGACCTAAGAGTTATTCAACACATATGCGCATACACATAAGCTTACGTATTTATTATCCACATTAATTATATACCTGCATACATAGATTGTACGTACACACACATGGACATACATTTGAAATCTGGACTCACCTCTTTATGGGTATGGATCAGAGGTCAACGCCGACGAATTTGTCTGCGGTGGCGGCCCCAATTTTGGAAGATTTTTCGGCGGCGTGGCGGCGCGGCGCCACAATGTTATAGGAATAGGAAATAAGATTTATCGGCGGCGGCGGCGCATAAAATATACCGACGTCTGGCGGCGCGGCGGCGTGTAATCGGCGGCGTTGACCTCTGGTATGGATTGTCGCCGTTTAATTGTCGAAGCGTATACTTTATTTCCACTCAGAGCACTATCATACATAATGAGCACTATCTCATTATTAAGTAGCTTCAGCTACTTTATGTGAAGACTTTGTCTGTCTGTCTGTCTGTCTGTCTGTCCGTCTGTCTGTCTGTCCGTCTGTCTGTCTGTCCGTCTGTCTGTCAGCAGGATAACGGGAGAACGGATAAAGATAATCGAAATAGGTTTTCGCCATCATACATAATACCCCAGGGGGAGGATCCTATCAACTTTTGGGTGCAACCGGACCACACCCCCGGTCGCCAGGGGGTGTGGTCGGGGCAAAATGAGATTTTTAGTGCAATTGAATCTATGGATGAAATGGAGTGAAATTTTGAGTTCCCCCGTTGTGCCACACCCCCCGGGCGCCAGGGGGTGTGGTCGGGGCAAAATGAGATTTTTGAAAAAATTGAATGCATAGATGAAATACAGTAGAATAAAGTGCTCCCGAGTTGTGCCACACCCCCTCGTCACTAGAGGGTGTGGTCGGGGCAAAATGAGATTTTTGAAAAAATTGAATGTATAGATGAAATACAGTAAAATCAAGTGTTCCCGCGATGTCGTGGGAGTGCTTGGAGTGAAGTAGTCTGAAGCTACTTCCGTATGCGCGTTTGCGACGGTTTATATATATCTATATCTTAATAATGGGGAAAATGCAATTATTTTGCAAAGTTCACATATTGGAAAACTTCCAACTTCCAGTTTGAACGGAAGGACATAGAGACTTGAAATTTTGAACGTAAACTCCTAACGTCAAGGGACAGGACGAGTTCGAAGATGGACACTGTGACATCGTCACATGTGACCAAGACGTCGTCATAGTGACGAAAAGTGACGAAAAAGTGTCACATTTCAGTTTTGGCATGTGACACATCATTTTTAACTATTTTTAACGTAGAATTCAATTGTGACCTACATTTTGACCTCAGAGGTCATCTAAAGGTCATAGGGGATATATATGTCAATTTAACAGGGAATTTGACGCTGATTCCAATGGTGACCTTCATTTCGACCTCAGAGCTCATCTAAAGGTCATAGGGGATATATATGTCAATTTAACAGGGAATTTGACGCTGATTCCAATGGTGACCTTCATTTCGACCTCAGAGCTCATCTAAAGGTCATAGGGGATATATATGTCAATTTAACAGGGAATTTGACGCTGATTCCAATGGTGACCTTCATTTCGACCTCAGAGCTCATCTAAAGGTCATAGGGGATATATATGTCAATTTAACAGGGAATTTGACGCTGATTCCAATGGTGACCTTCATTTCGACCTCAGAGCTCATCTAAAGGTCATAGGGAATATATATGTCAATTTAAGAGGGAATTTGACGCTGATTCCAATGGTGACCTTCATTTTGAACTCAGAGCTCATCTAAAGGTCATGGGGCATATATATGTCAATTTAACAGGAAATTCATTTTAACGTATGAAACAGTTCTTTCACCCCTTGGTTACATTCGTTGTAACGGTTTATTTACATTATGCACATAATATTTAATTTTACATAATTATGCACTACACAGATGCTACGAACAATTGTATTATGCCCTCTATCTTTTGTTTTACAATATTGTTCATTCGCGTCGTTCCTAGAAGAGTACAAATCAATTCTCTCTGAACCAATCTCTTCATAAAGGTTGAAACAATTTCCAGCGCATTGGTGACGAATTTCAAATTTTCAATCGCGAACCCTACCAACGCAAATGCCACCATGACCGCAGAAAGGGAAAAGGCAGGCGAAATTAGGTTAAGTGGTACATCATTTGATTCGTGAAAGGTGACTGGCTCTCTCACATTTCCGAACGATTCCTGCACAGCAGCAAAATATTTACCGAGTGCTAACAACCTCTCTTTGAAGGACAAGATGGCGGATATAGAATTCATATTGCTCCACATCTCTGTCAGTCCGGACTCTTGCAGGCTTCTGAGTCCCTTGGCCAGGTAAGGAGTGAACAAGTTTTTATTTCCAATTTTGAAAAATATAGCGTGAAACGGCGAATCGCCATTGTTCCGGACAACGTGTTGATTTCCCAAAAATTTGACATAACCCTGATAAGTTTTGAACAGATCTCTAAAAACAAATATTACGACCATAGGGTAACCACGGGTTGAATTTTGTTTCATAATTTTTAATATTTTAAACACTGAGTTATCCCTGGCTGACAGGAGCTTAGATTGAAATTTGGTTAAGAATTTTTTAAAGTTATGATTCTCAGCTGAGCTTGAAATCAATTGTGGCAGAACGATATCGTTCAGGTAAGTTTGGGTGAAGCCGCGATTTGTTACGTACCTATCCATGGCTAATATGGGAACGTCGAGGCGAATCAGGTCTTCAACTCCACGCGGGGTAGGAGGCGGGAAGATGACGGTAAGGTATGAGTATATCGTACCTTGATAATAATTAACCATGAGGACGAGATTCCCGAATAGCCATAAGGTTGTTAAGACTAGCGCCACTTTTCTGTTGCGATACGATCTTCGAGGAGACTCGCCAATATAGCCAAGAAATATAAACGTTACCGTGATCACCTTCTCAACCATCAAAACTGCGCGGGAAATCCAGGCCGATCGCATACTCCCATTATCAACGCATGCGCCAGGAATTTCTCCCCTAAACCCTAGAAAAGTCAATAATCCTGCAACTGCGGTAATGATGGTGAATAGACAGATCCATGTTGCTAGGTCGAATGGCGAGATGAAAGTGGCCACACCGCTTACTGGAGAAGGATGGTTGGTAATAGTTATGAAATTAATGGTTCGTAGGTTAATATCGTAGAACCTGTACTCACTGTGGTTATCGTAATTGGCCACTATTACTAAAGCAAATAGAAAGGATTTGTCGCCACCTAGCCCCACGCCTGGCTTGTATTGTAAGAGAGTCAGATTATACCGTTCCGTAATTGTCGCTACGGGACAAAAGTCCATATCTGGAATATTGACGAAAGTATCTTGCAAGGGTGAACAGCTTCCTTGTACTGGGATACCAAGAAATGTCAGATATTTGTGAAGGTCCTTATTCTGAGTGTCCCAAGCTTCTAGGATGCCTAGTAACGTGAATGTCTTCATTATTGAGAAGGACATTAATTCGCATGTCAGACATGGAACAAACAGTGGCGAGGTGACACTGTTTTTGAACAAGACTAGTTTCAAAGTACCTACAAATTTAGGGTGCCGTTGGAGACATTGCAAATCATTATTACTATGGAAGTGACCGAAAACAAAATCCTGTCGAAATGTGGTGCCCGCGTGCATTATTAGGTTGTCGAAATTCTTCTCCCATCTAGCGGACCCGACCAGGTTGACGAATATGACTTTAGGCCTTGGAGATTTCTCAGTGTTATGATAGCCATGCTCCTTTAGTTGGTTCAGGAATTCGTTTGTAGGCTTTGAAAGTATTGATTGATTAAGGACCAAGTGGCGCAATGGGGTGTATGGATTATCGTTCCGTACGACTTCAAAGTACGGAAAATCTGTCTTCACGTCAAGTTGTTTGTGGTCGTCTTGAGTGAAAATGAATGACAGATCAGCATCAAGAAGTACCCCGCTCCAAACTGTGCAATTATAGTAAGATGACAATATTGTGATTATCACAAGGGGTATAGAAATGTGGTATGGATGCGACATGATCTTAACTGAATAGTTTTGTGTTCTTGGTTATTTCAATTTTTTTCTCGATTTCCAAGTGAAGCTTTGAACAACAACATGAATGAAAAAAGTTCTATAGAGGAATGGATATATCGGTGTTGGATTCTCTTAGCAAATATTTTAATTTATTTACATGAGGAATTTTACATATCGAATTTTTAATTGTGTTGTACATTGTATGTCATGTATGGGACCATGCTTGCGCGTGGAGGATCGATTCTTTTGCTTCGTCAACAATTAAATATTCATGCGCACGCCATATTTGATCGTCATGTGGGGTAGAGGCAAAGTTATAAATAAGTGCTACAGTCACGATATTATCGTCATTGATGTGGTATTGTTATTGAACGGTATCCGGATGTTTTCAGATTGTCGGCGTTCTGTTTTATTACCTCGTGTAAGTAAAAATTTATACTTGAAGCAGGAAACTACGTATGATTATGATTGAGTATTTTAGAGTCTCAAATAAATGAAGTTGGGATTAAATTAATCAGGGATTAAATTAGTCTTATATGTACATGATGTTTACGTACTTATTTGTGTATTTACGTTTGAGGTTCAAAAATTATGTTGCTCATTAGTTGTAGACATACATATTTCGAGTCTCGACATCTTGGTCACGCTCGTTGCAATTTATGAAGATCCGAACAAGTTTTGCAAAAATTTATTTCAATTCCAAATTAATACATATTTACATATATATTTACATTAGATATCGTTCACTTTCTTACATATGTCAGATTAAAGTAGTTTATTATTCGACGCGTTAAATTAATATTGCGAATGTGCACGTGAAACAGATCCATAATTTTTGTTCACAAAGCATAAAATGATAACCAAGCTAATATTTTTATGTAATTTAATCAACCAATCAGTTCATCAAATACTATATTATTGCTTGCTTCGTAACTACGCCATTTAGTTCCTCGTCTCTGGACAATCGAACAAACCCACGTTCACACTTGTACCTAATGTTGTTGACATAGATAAAATTATGCCCATCGATAAACAAATCGATCAAATCGAAAAAATTGACGAGATTCTCTTCCTCTCCGAAAATATCGATTAATGCTTCCTTAATTAAAAGCAGGTCGTGCAGATCTCCATTAATCATGTCGCACAACGCGTCCACCGCTTCTTGGACAGATTCATTCTTGTGCAAAACGTGGAAAACGACTTCGTTATCGAGGTCACCGTTTCCATAGCTGAAATCCTTTCGAACGCCGAGGACGTCATTGACCAGTTGAGCATTGGTCATTGCAATCGTGATCAATCGATCGAAGGCGGGATGTCGCCTAATCTCGAGAGGTATTCGGATGTCCATCATGATTGCCGTGAGCTCCAACACAAAATTTCCGCCAGCATTGACAACTCGCCAGAAGTGATATGTTGATTGAGTGTATCTGCATAAAGACAAGAATAAAATTCAGATTTCAACAAAAAATGTCATGCTTACTCTGATTCTGATTCTAGCTCGAAAAACGCGGCGGAGACTCTCAGATGCAGATTTACATACATATTTAGTTCTTGAATCTAGAAAAAAAATAAGTCGGTCTCATTTTTGAAATGGATTATACACGGTGGCAGAGATGAGCCGTGCGCACGACTTTTTCGTGTTAACACGAACACGCACGACACGATCGTGCATCGTGTCGTGCCGTGCGTGTAACCCTCACTCAAACACTTCGTGCGTGCGTGCGTGCAAAACCAATAGTATCCTCGTGTCGTGCGTGTTGGTACTTTTAGCACTACACGCACGCTGTGAAGCGGGACATTGGTTACTAGTGCCAGGGTTGCTAAATTCTTCGTATAATTGCATTTTTACACTCTGAAAATTGAAAATGTCGGTTAAATGACAATTATTCATGATAGTGTCAAACAAGTCTGTTGTTATACCCGACACGATAGTGCTCAAATTCAAAATAAACCGAAATTTTTTGGTCGTGCGCATCGTGCGTGCCGTGCGTGTTTTTTCGTCTTAAAAAATTTTCCGTGCGTGTTGGGCATTTTTTTGGCAGACAAAGTCGTGTTTCGTGTCGTGCGTGATTTTTTTTAATGAGCCGTGTTCGTGCAAAACGTGACACGAGCTTCGTGTTCGTGTCGTGCGTGTTTCAAAAAACCTCGACACGACTCATCTCTACACGGTGGTTTAAATGTCACGCTACAATGGAAAATTTTCCAATTGGAAAAGTCCCTAAATCTCCATTAGTTACAAGATTTGGGATTGAAATTTTTATAATTATCATCAAAACTGATGACGAAATTCTTAAAATGTTGAATTTTAGAGACAAAATTTCGGTAACTAGTGGACATTCAAGAATTTTTTCCTTCGAAAAATTGTCCATTGTAGCGTGACATTTTAACCACCCTGTATGTAGATATTCTTAAATCTCCAAGTTATATGTTTCAGAATCCCTAAATTGTTATACAGCCAACAGTACCAAAACCTAAGCATTCTACAATGTGAATGTAGCGAAATCAGAATCAGAGTAAAAACAACTATTGTGGAAAGTGTCCAAAAACGTAATTCTCATTTTAATCAGGCTGTAACAGAATGCTAAATAGGTATTTCTAATTTGCAAATAATTTTATAGTTTATGAATTACCTTCCATCCACCGGGTTAACGGTAAACCAATGGTTGCAATCTACAATGGTTTGAAATATTCTGATAAGGTGGTCACATTCCTTGAAGTACTCGTCCCCCCTAATCTCCACCCCCAACTTGACAACATCATTGATCCAGGCACACATTGCCCCCAGCTGGGGGTATTCTGGGAAACTGGGTAACTCTTCTTTGGAATTCCAAGTGCCATGAAAAATTTTCAGATAAGTGCTGTGGACAATCTGTAACTTTGAAATGTGCTTTTTCCCGCCAACTGTGGGACTCTTACTTGTCCAAAATTCTTCCATAGCATCATCGAAAAACCAGAGCCAGATATTTTTACGCATCATAAAATCCATCTGTTTTGACCTCAGATCTACCCATGGATTCCAATAGAGGGCGAACTGAACCGCGGTGAGGATCATGGTCTTGATGGAGTAGCGTTTAAAGTGATGGTCACCGAAACCGTATTGGTTCGCCAATTTGCAGTATTTCTCAGAAATTTCGTCAACAATAGCAGGATCTACTTCGGGTCGAAAAGTGTGTGGTTGGATGCGTAGATATTTCCCGGTAACGGTTACCTTAGGGAATGAGGGGTGGATAATGTCAGGAATTTCAAATGTGACGAATCCATTTAAACGGGTTGGTTGATACTTGCCGAGGGTTTTCATTTTGCGAAATTTAAATACGTTCGGTACCCATTTATCAAATTAGATTGACTAGTTGGTGTTGCTTTGGTTCTCCCCATATTCTGCCAAAAAAGGAGAATCCTTTTATACTCGACAAGGACAAACAAATGGCAAACTTTTTATTTGCACTTGCAAAATTGTTCAGATATAATAGTAATACTATTAAATGTGAAAAATGACTTTCCCCTTAAAGGGGAAAGTCATGGCGAAAATTAAACCTGAGAAGTAGCGAGCTTATTCTGGATGGAGAATTATGCGTAGGATAAATAAGGGGCCGTTCGTCAACTTCATAACGTAATTTGTTGGTTTTCTGGACACCCACCCTCCCTGACCCTCCACCCACCCCTCATTGTATTACGAAGTTTACGAACGTCCCCTAAAGTTAATGGTTGCACACATTTATGAGATTAACCATTATTTTAAATACACATTTCGCTGAAATACACAATTTAAGTAGGTACCTTACCTACAGGGAAATTTGGATAAAAATATGTGTACATTTCGGCGGGTCAGAGTACAATTGGGTGGCGTTACTTATGTGTTATGCAACCAACCGATGCCGCAGGGCTTATGATAGTTTGATCTTTAATCATTCGCAGAGCTGTGATAATCCTGATTTAACACTAAGGATTTCTTGTCAATCTCTTAGTTTGGATTACTCATCACGAATTGGGAAATGATATGCGGCTTGGGGCGCACGAATTAATTAACCCAGCTTCTTATAAGGGTAAGTTTAACCATTAGGTTTAACCATTAACCTTTAAGAATCGACATTGACCCTGTCGTTTAAAATATTTTGAAACCACATAGTTGTAACTAGTTTGTTCAACCAAGTAGATTATTTAAAAAATCGTTAATCAAAAAATTAATTCAGATATTACCGTTAATATTTAATCCAGATATTCCAAGAACTTATGGATTAACCTAATCCGGTTATGAATTAGCCCTACAAAAATAATTTAAGCAAAATCAACCGTATTTTATGGTGAACCCTTATCCTTTAATCTCCATCAAAAACAATTTATATCCCAGCTCTGACTAGTTGCTAAGAACGTAGAGCATAAGCAATTTGACCTAACACTTAATAGAAGTTAAATGTGGTTTTACATGTATGTAAAATATATATAGTTTACATTTTTTACAGTGCACAATAATATTTAATGCTTGGCTTACATCATCCTTTAACAAATTTTATGACATGATTACCCAAAGTTAAATATGCTTTAAGTACTTATATAAACTGGATACATGTTGTGTGACAACGCATTTGCTTTCATTCATTCTTTCCTGGTTTTCCTGGTACTGTAGAGGCACATAACATTTGTATACTTTATTATTATTAAGAACAAGCAGTGAATTACCGTGCTGTGCGAAATAAAACTTTATCAAGTTTATCCTTAAAGCGTACTAAGATTCGGGTAATAATGTAATTAAATAAATACGTATTTATATGCCTTTATGTACATATGTAGGCACACAGTGGCGGCGGAAGTTGGGGGGACATGTGGGGACATTAACATTGTGGGATAGGAGAAGGAGGAACTTAATAACATGGATAAGATAAGATTTTGCTAAATTTCTGGGGGGACAATGTCCCCCTGTCCCCCTGCTTCCGCCGCCACTGTAGGCACATGCATACTTATGTACATATGCAAATACATACATATGCATATAAGCTCGTACAATAAATAATATTTCAAGATAATGTCTTCAGGTACCGCTCGAATCAATACAAACGTACCAGAGACTGGCGGATTAAAGATATTGGGATTAAGGATGGATTGAGATTGAGGATTACATTTAAAATCTTGGGATTGAGATTGGGGATTAAGGATTAATTTTTCAAATTTTGGGACTAAGGATTGGGATTAGGGATTGAATTTAATCTGGGATTAGGATTGACACTGGATTAAATTTAATCTGGGATTGGGATTAACACGAGACTAAATTTAGGGTTTACCTGGTATGGAAATTAATTTACATAGTCGTGGATTAATTGTTTGCATTAAAGTGCATTATTATGCCAGACTTTTAAATTAATTAAATAAATCTCTGAACTTCTGAAAATGAAATCTTTTGGACATTTTGCATGCAAAATTAGATTGCTTGTGAATACAATTTCTAAGTCGCAATTAAATATTTTTTGTGCTAAAAATTACATAGGGGAAGGATTCTAATTTTATTCTTGGTACTATTTTAACGAAGAGCTACGATCATAATTTGGTCAGAGTACTCACATTTCTTTATAAGCTCACACAAAATTTGAACATTGTGCATTGAGGATACCGCGATACGAGTAGTTTTGCAAAATATTGTAAATTATTTTTAAATGTATGATAAAAATAAACGAAATGCAGTCAATTTTCGAAAGGGGAGCGATCTCAAGAGAAGTTTGCTTTTCGAGTTTTTAGTCAATTCAAATTTAATCCCATTTCAATCCCACTTTTGGATTAAAGTTGACAGTTGGATTGGGGATTAGGGATTGAGGATTAAAATTCAAAAACTCGGGATTAAGGATTGAGATTAAGGACTAATTAATCCCCAATCCCAATCTCAATCCCCAATCCTTAATCCCGGATTGACCAGTCTCTGAAACGTACACATATGTATTTATTCATATGCATAATCGTAACAACTCAATTACATAATTCACAACACTTACATACATACAAACATACATAATATGTGTGTGTATATATACTATGTATACGAGGAAACAGACTCCAGGGTAATTATAGAATTTTACTCAATTGTTATTTAAGTAATTAATTACACACATTTAAATACATATATAGGTATGGTGAGACCTATCATTAGCTCACCCTGCGTAGCATGAGAGCTATTGAATTCCTCTTGTCCGTCTGTCTGTCTGTCTGTCCGTCTGTTAACGAGTTTTTTGCATCAATTGATGCTATTTAAAAATCCCCTTGACCATTATAGAATAAATTAGTCGCACCATTGGTATTGAACAAACCGAATCGATTTTTTTATTAAATTGATAGCACCGTTGATATCTAACAATCGGTAACACAAAATGATGCGAAATAATTGGGAGAAGGGATGCAAAATGCACCAATAATGCAAAATATCCGGGAGAAATGGTCATACAATTTTGACAAAGTTTTCAAAATTATGATGGTCGCTAATGCTGCAGTAATGGTGCAACGGCTAGCCGCGTTTGTTGCACCATGGGTGCAAGAATATATACGAGTTATGATCTATTTTGCCGGCTTGTTCCGCACGTTCGGTGCAAAGTTCTGTCTAATCATCATGACAGGGTGAGCTACTTCTAACGTTACTACGGTTTATTCTACTTCATAAAAAATATACTGAAAACATATCCCTTTGGTTACATTTCCATGTTCCCCCTACGTCTTCGGAACCTCTTGCTCCGTCCTCTTCCCCCGTGGTAGCCTATCACCCTTCTTCTCCATCACGACGCCATGATGTCCCTTCAAGTGCAAGTAGAGCGACGTCTTTTTCGCGAACGCTTTCCCACACCCGACCTGCTCGCAGACGAAGGGCCGCTCCCCCGTGTGCACTTGGCGAATATGCGCCTGGAGAAAGTGGTTGTGGGTGTAGCCCTTGTCGCAGTGGGGGCACGGGTACCGGATAGGGGCCACGTAGCCGGGCGTGTGCAGCCGGAGGACATGCGCAGACAAGTGTTTACTCTGTTTGAACGCTTTGTCGCACTGGGGGCAGGGGTAGGGGCGCTCGTTCGTGTGGACCCGCCGGTGAGCAACCAGCTCAGATTTTCGTAGAAAACAGGCCCCACAGATCTGTATAGTTTTTAAGAGAAAGGGTAAAATGGTAAAATTCTTTATTAATGGTATAATTGTAAGATTTGGGAGGAAAATTATTTTTCGTAAAATTTTAAAGGTTTGCGTGAAATTCAAAGTTTCAACGTTTACATTAATAATATGCAAATTTGCATGAATTGTAAATTTGCAATTTTTTTATGGAATTTCAATTTTATGAAATCTGAGTAATAACAGAATTTGAGAAAAAGTTGGTTACGTAGAAAAATATGAACCATATTCACAATCGTTTTCGTAACCTTAGTATTCTTCGTATCACTTAATAAGTTCCGACGGTTACGAAATTTTTTAAGCATCGTAAAATTTTGTCGTCGAAAAACACTTTTTAAGGTATCGTAAACCTTGAGAGAAAAAGATTTTTAAAAAAAGGTGCGCAAAATTTGAAAGATTTGCAATCCAAACGTTCAAAGTATATTGTTAAGACCCCGAAATCGGCATACATCTTTAACTAATAGTAGCTGATATTGCACTTATTGTATGACATGCATGCGAGAGAACGTGGAGATTACGTGTTAATAGCCCAAGCCTTATCAATGCTGACGAGTGAAGACACGAATCAATGAATGACTGAGCCATCTTCTTGACCCAACGCTTAATTCATTACTTATGTAAAGTTAGATCTGTTTAGCAACTAGATAACATCATACGACATCCTGTTGTTTTTGTACAATCGACATTATTGCGAACACTCGATCTTTATTCAATCATGGAACTTGGACTCCACACGACTAAATTAAGTGAGATGATACAATGTTGTTCTCATTGGAATATTGGATTGACCTACCCATTTTTGTGTGATAATTGTGCAACGACGACCCACGTAATGTACGGATGATAATGATAATGTAGAATTACTTGCCTTTTAATTAATCCACTTTTAATTATTACGACAACCACTTTTAGTTTAGCAATCCTGAATTGTGCAGGATTTTTAGTTTAGTTACGAGTTGAGAGTGAAGATGTGAACTACTTCTTTTCTCATTTAATAAATCATCCAATACAGCCTCAACGGGAATGTGAGACGACTTATTATTACTGGTACTTTGTATAAAATCCCACAAGAATCAGTGCATCAATTTTGTGTGTTAACAATATTAATACCAGAATGCACAAATTGGCATATGTGCATTGTAAATCTTTCCGTTTTTTATAGAAACAAAATTTCAGTTGATTAAAAAATGTGTAATTTGTGGGAAAGATAACTAGAAATTTTCAAAATTGGTGTGAAATTTACACAAGGACGCGAATTAAGGATTATGTAATTAAGTAATAATCTTACTTCACATTGGTGTGGTTTCATTCCTCCATGCGTCTTCTTGTGCTTATGAAGTGCACTGGCGCATGTGAAAGTTGCTCCGCTAGATAGATAATTAGCAAAAGTTAGAAACTCTTCTACATATTTTTGAATAAAATAATGATAAGCATGAGAAAGAAAATTACCACACGTCACAAACGAACGGGTCGGCACCATGCACTTTGACCTTGTGGGATTGGAGGGTGCAGTACAAGCGGAATTTTTCCCCGCAGGGTTCACACTCGTAGGGGAAACGGCCCTCGTGCAAATCAACGTGACGCTAAAAGCACATACACAAAGAAAGACTTAACGATCCAAATAATTAAATAAGTCGGTATTAACACTAAATAGAAGTGTATTACCCTGAGGAAGATTGGGAGGTAGAAGCCTTTCCCACAAATGTGACAGACATGATCTCTGGCAGAGTGCTCTTTCGCGATGTGATTTCTGAGGCCCATCTTATCGATGAAGGTCGCCTCGCACTGGTCACATTTCTCCGGTTTTTCACCAGTGTGGATGCGGACGTGCCTGCTAGAGATAAAAAAGTTAACAATGTTTCTTCGTAGTTGCATTAATTTATTTAATAAAATACATGCAAATGTGTGTAATGTAACATTACTAATGTTACACACATTTGCATGTATTTTATTAAAAAGTGGGCGACTTTGGTTACAATGAGGATGATTAATATTGGGCGTACTCACGACAACCTCGTAAATGACATAACTTAAGAAATATCAAAATTTGCAAGACGTCTTTTAACAAAATATTGTTTTTTTCGCAAATTTACCAGATTTCGCAACTAAGCATTTTTTACGAAGGAAAGTAATTTACATTTGTTATCGTTTTGTCTGTCCGTCCGTTAGCAAGATTTTCAAGCCCCATTATTTTCCGATAGAAATTACAGAAAGTTATTCGTGATAAACAAATGAAAATAGGCTAGATTTTACAGCTTTGCGAAATCAAATTTTGAGAATCCTCTCATCATGTCACAAATTCTTCAAAGTTACCAAATTTCCTATGACTATTCGTTTCCTAAATGTTAAATTAGAAGGTTTGTCGTGTGTTCGCCCCGGGATAAAAAATATTCACCTATCCATTGCATGTTTAGAAGTGAACACAGCGCCACAATGGTCACACGTGATCGTCTTGTGCGACTCCATGTGCTTCCTCAACCGGTCGTCGTCCTCAAATCGATCATCGCACACGTCACACACGACCGGTTTGACCCCTTCGACCTCATGCAGGTCCAAATGTCTATGTAAATTTTCTACGAGGCAAAAGCTCTTGCCACACTTGTCACAGTCGAATTTTTTCTCGCCTTCCTCGTGTCGCATGACCATGTGCGCACCTAGCGCTTTCCTGCTTTTCGTGCCGAATTTCTTCCCGCAGATAGAACATTGGAAGGCAGGAACGCCTGGGTGGAACTGTTTCATGTGGGCGGTAAAGGCATGAGAACGACTAAGTTTGGCGGGACAGGCAGGACAATGGTAAAGAACGTCCGGGAATGAATGGGAATGCGCGCTCTAGCGAGTATATTGACAAATCAATAAACCCGCGAACTATAATAATTTAAATTTCTGAAAGCCCACTTCATTAGGGTCAATTTGGTATATCACTCTTAAATTTCAAAAATGGATAAGGGTAGAAGCTTGTTTGAAAGGGAGCTGTTAGCAAAACGAGTGATGGAGTTCTACAACACGACAGCCAACCGAGACTCCAAGGTGACCTGGAACTTTTTTAAGCAGGAAGGAATTCCAAGTTCAAATGTGTATTCCTACATAAAAAAGTTCAAGGATTCCGAAAATGTGCAATTCAAGAAGCCAGCTGGTCGTCCGGCGAAGCTAGCGACCACTCGAGTGAAAAATAGAATTGAAAAAATTTTCAAAACCAAGCCATCAACGTCAGTAGCTGTAGCTGCCAGGAAAGTCAAAATTTCCAAAAGCTACCTGGGGGAAATTAAGGTCCATAAATTAGGAATCAAAGCAAGGACCAAAAAACCTGCACCAAATTACAAGCCCGTACAAGAAAGTCGGATCAAGGATTGCTGTCAAAAATTGTTGAAGAAAATGCGTGGAAAAGTAGTGATCCTGGATGACGAAACGTATGTTCCGGTTGACCCTTCAAATCTTCCAGGGCGTCATTTTTTTCATAGCTCGGATCCCTCTGAAGTGGCTTATGAAGAAAAAGTACGAAAAAAAGACAAATTTCCAAAGAAATATTGCATTTGGCAATGCATCTCCAGTCACGGACATGTATCAGACCCGGTAGTTCTCGAAGGGAATATCAATCAAGATATTTATCTGAAAAATTGCGTCAAGGCTGGATTGGAAGCATTTATTAATAGGTTTCACAAAAATGATAAAGTTTTGTTTTGGCCTGACCTCGCCACTTGTCACTATGCAAAGAAAGTGACCGAGTACCTCAGAAAGAAAAATATTGATTTCGTACCAAAAGATATCAACCCACCTAATGTACCCCAACTCCGCCCAATCGAAAAATTCTGGGCACGTTCTAAGTCAGTATACTCCCGGCTTCAAGATGTGCCTGACACCTTTCGAAAATTCAAAGGACGATGGAAGAAAATCACCTCGGAAGTGGCAAAAACTTCGGGAAAAAATTTAATGAAAAATCTTCGCAAGAAAATCGAACTAGTCGCCAACGGGGGTGTGGCGGCCTTAGCTATTAATTAAATTATGTAGGTACGTATTTGGTATTATACATATGCAAAAAGTTTAAAATTCCGATAACTCATTGTGATTTTATGACCACATTTTCAGACCATTCCCATTCATTCCCGGACGTTCTTTAGCGATGGTCGCGCGCCATGTGACGGGTCAAGTTGGATTCGGTGGAAAAAGATTTGGCGCAGGAAGTGCATTTGTGGGGAAGGTTACGTTTGGAGGAGGGGATGACCTTTTCGTCTTCGGTGTCAGAAGAGTTATTTTCTTGGTCGGAGGTACGAGCCGAATCGTCATCGGAATCGGTGGGGAGGATTGGTTCAGATTTTACGTGGGGAATTGATCTAGTTGACACAACTTTTTTCTTGGTAATTGATTCCTTTGGGGGTTGGACAGGTTTGGTGCGAGGTGAGGATCGCGTCTTTTCTAGGCTGGGTCGTGGCTCTCGTTTGACGCGTTTTATTGGTAGTGTGGATTTTTCCGGTTTTTTAGAGAGCAATGTGTCCCGTTTACGTTTAGCTTGATGATTTCTGTGTAAATAAATTGAAATTTATGACGGGTTATAATTACTACGTATAAAAATATGAGTGGAAAAGGTTGTTCTTATACTGTGAAGATTTTGATCTGGTTTTTGTCGACTTTTGCTTTTTTGCTTGTACCGATTTTTGTTCTTTTTGAGAGTAAGGAATGATACAAAATGCAGAATCATCATAATCATCATCCAGTTGGAGGGGATCCTGTTTTATTTCGTTGTCCTCCTCGTCCGAGTATACTTTAGAATTTGTTGAGTGGTCAAAATGATGATAACTACTTAACAATTCTTCGTCTGCATCCGTCACGGTTTCGTCGCCATCAAATTCAACTTGTTCTACTTTAACTTCGAGATCGTCCGATGCGAAGTTGTCGTCCACTTCATCTGATAAGAGGAAGAATATTAATAATAAATTTTTTATAATTAATACAATCATGAGTATCTCCTGCTGTATGCATTTTTATAAAACCTGTGACACGAAGAATGATGTCCGTTATCCTACTAATTTTATCTTGACCCTGATTGTGTAACGACGAAGTTATTGTGGCTCGAATTTGCCCAAATTTCGTCCTAATTTGACCCTCCAGGAGCGACATTTGAACCCGAATTTCTTCCACCTCAGTTATCACGGCATCACAACTGGGACAAAAGTCGCATGTCTCGTCATCCTCGGCAAATTGAGAGGTAACATTTTGCTGATAAATTGTACTATTGAGAGAAGAACACGATGCCAAGAATAATTGGCACAGGGTGGAGATTCGTATTTTTCTGGGGGCTGCATGAGCATTATTTCCGTATTTTGATGGAGGATCGTCACCCGAGAATTCGGTCAAACAGAGAAGGCAGGACATTTCTGAAAATCTGGAAATGGATAAATAAACCAATATAAATAATTAGTTCTTGTTAAAAATTATTTCATATTTAATCCGGTTGCGATTTTTACAATAGTTTATGAAACATGGCAAATTTTAAAACTATACTGTTAATCAATACTATTTAATTACAGTTCCTACCGTGTGAAGGACACGAAATGGCAATTAAACTTACCCTTAAATTTGTATGGATAAGGGCAGACTTAATTTAAAATTTGGGATTAAATTTCAATGTTGACAAATCGAAATCAAAATCAGGTGAGCGAATGAACTCGTGCCAAGACGGGTTTGAGTTATGAACAGAGGGCGGATATGTATGTATTTCTAACTTTTTCATTCCCAATCAGATCTTACTATAACTTCGTATACACACATCCTATCGAAGCATGATTTCAAAAATTCAAACATGGTTTTCCATATTTTACATATTTTAGGGTTTTCGTACATATACATATTTTCATACATATTTTGAGGTTTTTTCGTAAATACACATATTTTCCTACATATTTCGAGCATTTTCTAAAAATAAACATTTTAATGCATATTTCAGGATTTCCTGAGGAAAAAATATTTTTCTTCATTCAGACGTTAAAGTTGGATAAAAATTATACTTTCATGATAACGGAGTTTAATTCGTGTAAACGACTAGAAAATCCATTTTGCCCCATTTTTCAAGTCATAAAATTGCCCCTGAAAATCTCTAAATATGGCTAATGTCGTTTTACGGGTCATTACATGAATATTAAAATACAATACATAATAATTCATTAATAAGTGTTACAAATTTGAAACTTTTAGAAAATTAAATGCAAATATAGTAGAAAATTTCGGTTGAAAAATATGTTTTACGTGCATATTTTCGCGTTTTTTAAGTACATATTACATACATATTTTGAGGAATTTAAGTACATACATATCCGCCCTATGGTTATGAATTGGGCCAAGTGAGAAGAGAGACAAAGAGAAAAAGCAGTGCATGAAAATCATGAAAATGGAAATGAATGATTGTGCATGTAATTAACTTTACCTGTTCACACTCATTTATTTAATAGAGTATAATCAATGAATGAATGCATTATTTATTATTCACTAAATTCGTGAATAACGATAGTTCAATTTTTTTCAACATTTTTGAATGAATGAATATTGAATAAATATTTATTAATTTTACATTCATGAAGAATGAATGCCAAATTTTATTCATTGTCCATTTTTCATGACATGCTTAACACATGACGTATATTGAGCAATCCAACTAATAGTGCGAATGTGAGATATGTAAAATGAATATTAAAAAAAGGAATAATGAGTGAGTAAATATTTATTTTCGAATTTTGAATAAAGGAATAATGAATGAATAATCTTTTCTAATTTGTCAATTTATTGAACTTTAAGTTTAACAGAAAATGGAAATAGAAAATTGAAATAGAAATTAAAATGAATTTTTTTAGTTGAACGAATCGAAGTAAAAATCTTCCATCGTGTTTATGTAGATAAACAAGTGTACATTCAAGCAATTCAGTATTTAGTAAATATTACTGGTTTGTCATATTTTGATAGCCATAATTTAATTAAGCATTTAAACGCATGAACTTTAAATCTGATTCTTCAATGCCGAACTTATTTAATTATCCATTCACCAGTTTTAACTTAAGTAATATTTGTTTAGTACAATAGATTGTCTTGACCTTACCAGTTTTTTCAAAACATCTGACCCAGGATGCAGGATGTGTCATTGTTTAGATTTTTTTTACGATTAAAAATTAGCTGTGAATATGTTCCGAAAACCATTACCTACACAAGTATTTATAATTATGGCAATCTTACCAAAATCGTATCAGTACGATTGTCTCAATCTTACCAAAAATTTAATCCGTAAAATTTCAGTCCGTTTTTAAAAATGCATAACAAATTAATTACCATATTAATTAATTTAATCGTAATGCCCACCTTGTCCCGGGCGGAAATTGGACAGTTAAAATTGTCCGATTTAACGGGCGATCCCACCACCGTGCATTCCTTAGGACCGGACGTCGACAGGGCGAAGAAATAATATATTTGTCCGGGGCCGCCTACTGTTTCAACCTTCCCGCCTGGTCGTGTCGCTATTGCGAAAAGGCGCGCCGTTTAGGCTACCAGTTTCACAGCGTGGTTTCTAACGAGGATCAAAACACGTTGTGCTTCATCTCGGTGAATGATAAACTTAAAGAAATCGTGCTCACATTTCGAGGAACGTTGAATTTGGGGAACGTTTTGGCCGACTTGCACGTTTCGATTTGGAACATCGGCATGGGGTCGACCGTGATGAAGAGGAATAAGACAAAAGGGGAGGCACCCGTGGGGGAAGAGATGCGGATTCATACGGGTTTTATTATAGCGACGAACTCACTTTATTCAGAAGTTGTGGAAAAACTGGGAAGCTTGTTGAAGGAAAAGAGGGATCATGAGGTGGTGGCTATCGGTGAGTTTATACATAGCTTTGCATGCGGTAACTTTAAGGTGGAATGAATTTTAATCTCACTCTACCCCTAATTCAATGTCTCTAAATGCATTTTTAATTTCGTTCAGGAGGGTTTTGAGATTACGTATATAATGTGGCTTGCTGTATTTTCATGCATAATTAATTTTTGACACTGCAAATTATCGATCTAAAAAATTGCCAACTAATTGTTAAGGAAATTCATTCTGAAAAACTGGCAGCTGAATTAGCAATTCTGTTTCTAAATCGACAAGTTTGTAGTACCAAAATATAACTTGCATAAAAGTGTCCAAAGTTGCATTGATTTCGAAAGTAATGAAATTGATGTCATTTTATAAATTTGCAAGAAAAGGCATTGGATAAGGGTAGAGTGAGATCAAAAATAAATTCAATCGTCATCTTATGAAACCTTAAGGATTTGTTGGTTTAATGCATTTTCAAAAGTTTAATAAATCACTATTCCTAAGCATTTTAAACTTACTTTTATGCATAATTATGTACCTATGTATTTATTTATTTAGGTCACAGTCTCGGCGCTGCGATCGCATCGGTGACCTTATTCATGATAAAAGAAGAGATCAACCTTCCTCCCAATTTCCCCACCCCGAAATCTTACGCCTACTTCGGTTATGGGACACCCCGCGTGGGCAATAAGGCCTACGCAGACTACTGGAACGGTCAGAAAGACATGCACATCACCCGGGTAGTTAATCAAGCCGATTTTGCGGCCCATGCACCGCCCGCCATTGCTGGCTACGTCCACTACGGGACCGAGTTATGGATCACCGAAACGGGAATCAAAAAATGCTCCAGAAAGATGTATGAAGATCCCACGTGTGCAAATTCAGTCGCTGAGGCGGCAAATCTTCCCTACCATTTAAAATATTGGGATGTCGCTTTCTTGTCATGCGCACTGAAAAACCCTTTGTGGACAGTGCAACAGTTTGTCATGCCATTGTCAATTCTGAAAAATAATAAATAGAAACTCTTAGATTTTGTTTAGCACGACTTAAATTTGGGCCAAATTTTTTGTTGGATACAGGTAAATACATAGAATAACACAAATGTAGCATACATTGTTAACAAGATTAATCTGTATATATGTTCCTGGGGGCCGTCCATAAATTACGTAAGGCGAAAGGGAGGGGGGGGGTGAAAGGATCTAATGATTTCGTGCCTATGTACCTACATATATGTTACACGTGTTAAAGGGGGGATGGAGGATCTAAAAAAATCGTCATTTTTGCATTACGTAATTTATGGCGACCCCTTAGGCAACTCGTATTAATCATTTCTGCCCGGATTACATACATATTTATGACTCTTCTGAAATCTGTAATGTCTAGGGTTACAGTGTATTTAGTAATGTGGTACTGTAAACTATTTAGAGTATAAGTAATTAAGATTTTAAAAATTCGAAATGTAATTATGTAATAATTGTCTCCTCGTATGACACATTGTGTTAATTAAATTCGAAGCATCTAAAAAACACATTTGCAGACACACATTAGAAGTTATTCATTCTATTTAGGTACAACTTAGCAATATTTTCAGCCGTTTGATTTTTATTGGAGTCCAATTTCTTTTCTGTTTTTACAATCTAGATATGCGCGAGATCTTGTCAAAAATCCTCGTGCTGGAGAGCTTGGATTATAGAAAGAAGTTTAATCACAATGTAGAGTTGAGACCGCCATTAAAATTAATTTCCGATTATCAACTTTCCAAGAATAAGGCTTAACTAACAAATGCGGAATTTATTTACCTGAGGGAATAATATTTTGCAATTTCATTTGTGTATCTGATGCCAATTTCAGTTGGGAGATCAATCAAGATATTGACATTGACGAATGTATAAAAAAATATTGACATCGACAATTGCATACATTATGTATGCACCAAATATATTGGCAAATCGTACAATTAATTTGATATCGTGAGGGGTCACTAAATTCAAATCTTGGAATGACCACTAGACCGTGGAAGCATTTAGGTTTACATAAATTGTTCTAAAACGTATCACATACGTTCTGTACGATCCCGTATTTGGAAGGCATGCTTTATAAATACACAAATATTTACATACAAGGGTCACATTTCTGCAGAAATTTCGCAATCATGATTGTAAAAATCAATACGGCTTAATCAAGACTGTCCGTATAAATTTAAAATGGTATTTATTCCGGTGAAACCAACGAAATAAAATAGTTAGATTAATTGGATCAATAATCTTGCATAAGATTTCCAAGCTGTTGCTTAAGCCGTACCATTCGCCTATTTTGCCTTCAATTTGAAGCATACTAACTCCATAACTTTAAACTTTTTGAAAATTAGAAATTTCCAGAAATGTTGACTACCTTGGTGGAGAGACTTTTACGACGGGCCATAAGGTGGAGCACATTTTTAGGCTCGTCTCCATTTATTTGGAACTACAGAAATAGCAATGTTTCCCTGAGTGTGAGGAGTATCAAAAAATTTAAGCGATTCGTGGCTTATCAATTATTCTCGACGTCACTTGTCATTTTACGTGTCACGTTTAATTTACGGAATCAGGGTGATGTTCACAAGCATAAAGTGGGATCATTACTGGCACTCGCAAATACGATGTGGTCACTCTTCGCAGTCAACATGTTCTTTCGCTACGAACGGTATGGAAGTATGCTTAATGGTTTTTTGAAATTTGCGAGACAAGTTCAGTTCGGTAAGTGCAAAATCGAAAATGAAGAAATGTTCAAGAAAGATGTGTACACTCTTAGAAATCTGGTATTAAAATAATACCAATCGGTATTCATATATGACTTTACTAAAGTGATATTGATAGGTAATGCTGTGTTAGATTAGCTTGACATTAAAGTTTTATCATATCGGTAACAAACTTTATGTACGGACCGGTATAATTTTAATACTAAACGGAAGCAACTTTACTATCGAGAAATCAATTCCTCCCCGGTTATACCAGATTTCTAGGAGTACATATATAGCAAAATAAGAATTTTATTTAAAAAATCTAGCAATTTTCTTGACTAATTTATGTTTTAAAATTTCAGAATTTCAAAAGCCCGTCAGCCCCACTCTGAAAAACAAGAAAACTCGATTCAAATTCCCTACCAAGCTTGAACTACTCCTAATGTACTTAACCCTGCTAAGCATCACATTCCCCCTCCTAATCTCAACCCACGTCTTATTCAGCCCCTCATCCTTGTCCCACGCTTCCTCCATGGCGCCAAAAGAATTTCAAAAATTGGCCGCATTCCCCTTCTTACTCGTCCAATGTTGGGCCTTCCTCGCCAGCTGTTCGCTCATGTTGATTCATTCATTCTCAAACATCCTAATGGGCAGCGTGACCCTTAAACTTGTTTCGCTTGAGTTACGCCCGGAACAATTTACCGCCAAGAAAAAGGCGCCAGGTCTAACCATTCTTGCGGGGAAAGATGAGATTTCGCGGGCCCAAAACTTACGAACTATGTACCGATCCCTGCAGATAATATTGAACGAAATGAACTCCGTCATTTACTGGATCGCTTATCCTCTTGAGTTTCTTATTAGCAAATTTTGTATTTTGTGTGCCGTCATATTAATCCGATTTTGCCCCCTGCTTCAACCCTGGGAACGCGGGATGATTAGTTTATTCTTATGGGGGACGGGATTTATCTGGCTTTCCATGCTTCAATTGGGGGGATCAGTTTTCAACCAGAGTAAAGAATGTACCAGAACGTGGAAATTTTTCGATTGGGAGAAGGAGAGAAGGGTCATGGGGAAGTTTAGGAGGAGTTCGCCATCGTTGAAACTAAAAAGTGGAATGTTCGGTTTTATGAAGAAGATTAAGGTTTTGAAATTTTTAAAGGGTTTCTTTAAAAAGACGATGAAAACTTTGGTCGCGTTTGGAAAATAATTAAATAAGGTGGTCAAATAATAAAACTATTTAGATAGTTTGGCTTGGTTTGGTACATATGTAATTGAGAATAGGTAATAATATATACATATTTTGACAAATTTACAATAATTTTTAAAATTAGTGTAAATATTTTAACAATACTTACCAGAATAATACACAATTCAATAAATTACAGGATTCTTATTTTTAATATGTATGCGTGTCAATACGTATTGCATTGTGTATACTTATGTAATACATTATTTTTAGAAGCGTACATAGATTTAGTATATAACCCAAGTTAATGTTCGTTTTAAATTTGTAACATGAAATTATCGAAGGACATATTTGTTTTGATAATACGTATGTACACATAAATATACAGATATTCAATGTACACACATACATAAATAACTTGAAAATGGTTGCAATTGTTCATTTCCTGCGAGTAATTTGTCACAAAATTATGACGTAATCCAGTGTAACAGAGGTACAGTTTTCCTTTACATCTGTACATATGTATATACAATTATATTGATGTATGTAGTATGCAATTAATGGCGTACAAAACATCAGGAGTATGCATGCATATGTAAATATGTATATACTCGTGTTTCAAATCATTATTCAAATCATTTTTTTCTGTAAAATATACCAAACCTACGTTTAAGCAAAAATTAATTATACATATTTATTTAACTTCAGGGCGTATTGTGCATACAAATATGTATGTGCATACATATGAACTGAGGAACTATGTAGATAATGTATGTACAAATGTATGTAAACGAATATTTAGTACTCGGATTATGTATGTATGTATGTGCGACGAATAGAAAAACCTAATATTATTTTGTTTTGATAACACTCGGGTATTTTAATGTTGACAAAAGGTCAAGTACATACGTATTTACATAAACGCAGCACCATTAGGTAACCAAATGTATGTACGTTTTGCAAAATACGATATCCAACTCATTCATTGATTTAGGTGAGAGCTACATTTTTTATACATATATTTTAAACACTCAAATAAAATAACTCACGTTGAGGTCATAAAAATGGCTCTAAATCAAATGATCGTTGTACTGAACAAGTACGACACATTCCTCCAAGTCTTAACTCATCCCATTATTGAGTGGAGATCACGTCAAAGGAAATTAGTTTTTCAGAAAAGAATCCCGTTTATTTGGTGCTTTAATGTTTTTGTGGCGTTCGGACTGCACAGTGTGACGAACGTATTCCTCCTCTTGCGAAAGCTGAACGGTTGCGAGACGTTGTCCCCACTTCCCGTCTTAATGGTTCATATTATCCTCTTGTTCTTGTGGTGCTACAATTTTGCAGTGGGTGTGGGCATGATGATACACGGGGAGGAATACGTGTCAGGATGGAACCTTCTGCTGAACGAGTATACCAAGTTGGCAGGGAAAGGTACATATGTTTTTATGTCCATCTTAGAAATCCAGAATTATATCGAGAAATCAATATGTACCTGCACGGCTATACCAGACTTCTAGCAGTCTAGTACTAATGATATTTCAGAAATCAATCCGAATTTTATCTTAAATTTATATGAAGTTCGTTTTTTTAATTCGAAATTAACGTAAAAATTAACTTATTTTTATTTTGATGATATCTGTATATTTAAAAAAGTTTAAGAAGCTTAAACCCATTGATTTTTCGACAGGACCCAAATCTCTTGATCTGTTTTGGACCGCTATGTCCGGAATGATCTACCAATTCGCCCTCTTTCCTTTCATCCTCGTCATAGGCGCCTTATTCCTGAAGTTGGACCCTTTACTCCGCATCCTGGAAATGATGCCACCCTTGACCACTCCTTGCTACCTTGCGTTCTACTCAATTACGGTCTACGTCATCGTGGCCACTCACTTTGAAGGGTGCCGCCTATACCCTCTACCGGTGATCGTCTCATTTTCCCTCTGTAAAATGCTGACCGGTCTCATCTTGCCCCTCCATCTACGACGCAACCGGTACCGACTTCCCGTCATGGTGACACAATATTTGAAATTGAGCATAATTTTGGAACAATGCCTTCGCTTCTCAGAATTTTTGATTGCCGTATTAATGCTGATTGCGATGTGTGCCACGGTGCTCTTCGCGTTCGTAACGATTCGAATGTATGACCATTTCCCGGTCTGGTTTTACTCATTTTTCCCCAGCGTGAACGTGTTCGTCGCGGTTTTTGGGAATTTCGGGTTGGGATTAGGCATCGGGGTGAGGAACGAGTCGGAGAGGGTGTTACGAATTTGGCGTGGGTGGTTGAATGAAGTGTTGGCGGGGAGAGAGCGGGGCATTATGAGGAGAAGGTTAAGGTCTCTAAGGGCGATGGGATTTGGTGGGAGGTTTATATATTTATCTATGTACAAGTTGGAAAAGGGGATTAGGATCAAGTACTTGGATAAGGTGGTGATTTACACGATTAATTTGTTGTTAGGTGTGCCGAAATTTGACTAATTTTACAATTTTGAATGCAATTAACCTGTTTAAATTCAGAGTCCAGTTGGCTTTCGGATATAGTATTTATACAACCGAATCCGAATCATTCGGTTTAAATAATTTATCGACCGAAAAATCCGGATGGATATGTTTCAGTCGAATATTCTACGAATGGATCACAAAGTGTGTGACCAGCTTAAAATGTATAAAATCTGGAGCATATACCTGTTCACCTTAATTTATTCAATAAATTCATAAATATTGGGTAAGTAATTTCTTTCAAATTTAATATTTTGAATGAATTGATATTGAATGCATATTGAATAATTTCATATGCAAAGTAGGAGCGAAAATTTTGAGACCTTATAAATTTTTTCCCATTCTTAATACATTGGGTATATTGAGAAATTCGTTTATGTAATAAAACGAATTTGAGATAAAATGAGTGAAAAATAAACAATAGATACAATTTGTAAAAATTTACTTCTGAATAAATGAATAGTTAGTGTCTGTTAATGTAAGTAAATTGACACATAAAATATTGAATAAACAAATATTGTTTGAGCAAATATTAATGATCGTCAAATATATCTACCTGTGTTGCTCTGCATGCATAACTGTTGACTAGATGTAAGAAAAATGAGCAAATGGGATGAACACAAATAGTTTAATTACTCTAACCAGAAGTATACTTCCCAGTTAAATTTGCAGTCGCAATGGAAACCACAATCAATTATTTGCACACCTGAATCCACCATCAAGACTTTGGAACCCACTATTAGACATGATTGTCTTCACGCGGAAGGACAAACAAGGAAAATTAAATAAATCAATTTAACTCGATTTTAATCACTCGTACATAATCATGCCATTTTAAAAAATTTTTTGTATAAAAGAGCCATTGAAAATCAGATAGTTATGCAGTCATCACCTTGCAAAAACAGTTTACCAACTTAAAGTACTCCTCCAAAGTTTGAAAAAATCCAGTTTACGTAAAAACCAAAATCGTCGAAATGAACACTTTGGTTAAACTTGTCGCCATGGTGGCACTACTTTTTGCAACCGTTTACGCCACCAATTTTAACGATAAGGCTGGACAAGATGTGAGTAAAAAAAATGATTTTAGCAAAACGATTGAAGCTTTTGATTACTAATAATTTTTTAAAAATTTTGACAGGGATCGGGCTCAGCTTCGAAACCAGATTCTAAGTGGCGTAAGTGATAAAAATAAAATATGTATTCACTGGTAGAAATCTCGCATAGTGACGAAAGTACTGATTTCTTCGTGTTAAACCTTTTATCGTTTGGTATTAAAATTATACCGGTACGAGCAACTTGTTACCGATATGGAACAGTTTTACATCGAAATCTTGCTACAATGCATTGCATATCACTTGGTTAGAGTCATGCATCAATACTGCTGGGTAGTATTTTAACATAAGATTTCTAAGAGTTCAAATATGTAGGTAAAAATCATTCATGAAAAGTAAATTCAGTTTTGCCATACAGTTTTCCCAGGATTTTGGATTCCACTCCCGAACCTTACCCCACCCACTGGAAACGCAACTGGTTGAAATATTCAGTCGGTCTGGAAAATTTAGAGATTTGTTAAGTAGGTCGTGAAATATAATTTTTAGCCAAATTTTTATGAAATACATTGTCAAGTATGATTGTAGTTTTTGATAGAAATAAATACGAGTTAAACTTATTGGAAGAACTTACACATGTATGATTAATAACAGTAAATGAGAAATGCTTAAGCTTTCCGTAAGTTACATATCAATAATTTGAACCAAGTCTGAACATATTGCGAGACCTTGCTAAATTAAAATTAAAGGACACAATTTGAAAGAATTCTTATTACATCTTTCATGCAGGCAATAATAAATGCTACCCGTTTTCAACTATAATGAGTAATGCATACTGTACAATTGGCCGTTACAAATTTCCATTATCCCCACCATTACACAAAATCCGCAACAGACACCCCAAATTGTTAAGATCGTTACAACCCTTGCAGTAAAATCTAGCTTCTCCAACGCCCCAAATTTCGGTCCCGTCCAATTAGCATAATAGGGAAATAGCTTCCTCGGTTTAATCCTGCTAAACCACTCCTCCCACCATTTATAAATTCCCGAAACCATGAGAAACTTTACCCTGTCAAGGACAAAATTCCTCCTTGGCGTGGAACGAATTTGGATTGCAGACCACGTTCGAAAGAAATCATCATTATCTCCCCCCATGAAAACGGTCCCATCCGAATTATCATTTAAGAACGGTATAATATCTTTAATGTTCTCCTTTTTGTCTAAATACGCTAATTTATCCGCACATCGCGACAAATTCGGATACACATGAGAAGGCCACCTGTAATGCAAATCTCGCCAGATTCGGGAAATATTTCCTCCCCTAGACGATGAACCCCCACCAGTTTCCAGGTCACTAGCTACTAACAGAGCTTTGGCGAATCTTTTGTATCCCAACAAGCGTGGAAAGTTACCTTTATAATTCGACGCAAATATGGTTTCCGTAGAGAAACCGAAAGAAGAAAGAGTGTCGGTTGGAGTTCCGTTGATATACCAGTCATAAACTTGCTGCTCATTAGGTTTCACTGGAAAGAAGAATTGAAATCCTTGGTCATGAAGTTCATAAATTCTTTTCCATGGAGGTGTCCTTCTATACGGTAGGATCACTTCCGTTGTGAAGATAGTTTTATAAACTGCGGTCAAAATTATACCGCAAAATACCCAAATCCAGAAGATGTGTTTTAGACCTTTGGGAATGATCCTGTTAATGTTTGAGGTGACCGATATTTCTAGAATAACGGCTACGGAAAGAATACTCACATCGAGAGTCTCCCCTGCCCAGGTGTTCATTGCTCTAATCAGGGTAAATGTAAATACTATGATAAAAATTGAGAGCCAAACGAACTTATCAAACGGGTCGGAAAATGCTGTATACGAGTTCTCCTTATAGCACGACAAAAAACTGTAACTTTTACTTCCGGTAAGTATGACTTGATGAGTACTGCCAATAAACATGCGTTCCTCTCCAAAGAAAATATGTTTGCTCTTTTCATACACGTTCCTAGGGAATGACATATTAAACAATGACTCGGATAGAATGGTGTATGCAATAAAATCATTAAACGACTCGGATTGATTTGCTATTTGAACCCAATCCGGGCACTGTTTAAGGTGAAAGTATTTCTTCTGCATTTCGATAAATCTTTGGGTGAAAGTGGCCAACTATTATAAATCCTGGCATGTTTATTGAAGTTTTTGCCTACTTTGTCTGCTGCATCTTGAATATATTGATAACATTCTGTTTTCCACTTTGGATTGCAATTGATTTCCGAGAAAAATTCAAATGTTTCCAATACCGAGAAATCCTTGGATTTGAACCCTCATGGGTAATACAAATTTAAATGGTAAAATTTCACGTTTTGCTTCAATCCTTGTTGAGCAAAGTAAAATTCACGACTTCCCAGCGACTTAACGTCTGAGAAGAGCATCTTCGCATAGATTTCTCGTTTCTCCAGGTCAGATGAAACCAGCCAAATAATTTGTATGGGGTGAGGAGAATCCGTAATGGGGGGAAATAGTAGAGAATCTAATAAGTTGGGGAGGGTAAATTTTACCCCCATATCCGGAAAGACATATGTCCAACAGAACTTTTCTACCTGGCGACGACGAATGAAGGACACGTTTGTGAAGAGGAATGTGTCCGACGGCCTGTGTTTCTGGTTGGATAGAAAGTTTTGTACGTAAATTACTTACTGGGCCCACCGTAGCTGTAAGTAGCCGTTTTCTTTGAAACCGCTGGAGATATTGAAAATCTGATAATTGCGTTGGATTTCTCATAAGTAACACAAATCAGTTTTTAACTACCTACAAAGCCTCCCGGGAGGGAAAATCGTAAAAGGGCGCAAGCGGCGATTATTTTTCACTAAAAAAATCGGAACAGAAACAGTGAATTTTAAAAGTATTAAAGAAATCAACGGCGAACTTTAATTCAATCCAACGGACTATAAAAACGTTCATTGGGATTGGGTCGACTAAAAACAGTCGAAGAAGGAATTTTTAAAAACGTCCAAGGACCACACCCACGCTGAAGGCCCTGAAAGCTAAAATCCGAAGAAATTCTCGAAATTTCAACGAAAATTAGCATTCCAGGGGACAATGTCGATGAAAATGATCCAACGAGTGCTTAAACCGAGCGTTGGACTTAAGGCTTTGAAACGTGGCACTTGTCGCATGCTGGACCCCCCTCAAAAGAAAACCAGATTAAATAAATACAGGGCTCACCTGAAGTGGTACGCTCCAAAAAACGTGAAGAGGATTTTGTTTACAAGTGAGGAGATTTTCACTGTAGAGGAATCTTTTAACACAAAAAATTACATTGCCTACGCCAAATCTATCAATGACATCCATGGATAAATAAAAAAGTTCAAAAGTTCACATTATCCAATTTTTGTGATGGTTTTGGTAAGTGTGAGGTGATTGGGGGTAATCTCTCATTATTTCGCCGAAAATGGGGGGAAGGTGAAAGAAAAAAATTCTCGAAATACGTTTTCGAGTCCGTGGTACATCCCTTAAATGAGATCCAATTCAATGCAGTCGATCAACCTTTCAACAGGGCTCAGCACCAGCTCATGGTGCAAAAAGTGACTCAAGCGTGGTCAAGAAACCAAATTCAGGACTTTATCTCCACTTGGGAATTGGCATCCTCCTTGTTGGATTTGAATCTCTGGACTATGAAAAAACGATCAAAGTTAGGCGCAAAGGTGTGTTCAAAACCACGTAGAAGTGTTGTGGCTTTAAAAAATTCTTTGACCCCGGAATGGTACAATTTGTCCATAAATTCAGAGCGTGCTTCAACCGAGGCCTGTAGGCGGCATCTTCAGCGCTGCACTAATGGAGGGGGAGGAAATTGTGAAAACTAAAAATTGTTTTCTGCTCAGAATTTAACTGGCTTTCGACTAAAATTAACCAGAAATTCGCAACACAAAAACTGTTGAAGCCACAGAGTCTCATTTCACTTACAGTTTCAGTGGGCCACCTAGTAGTAATGGATGACTGGGTATAAAATCGGTTTTATTCTCGGCAAATGTAACGACGAGTGTACAATGTGAAAAAAAGTCAAGGACAGAAATAAGATGGCTGGGTGCGGTGTCAGCATGAATTTTTGTAGATATAAAAATTAAGATGGGGAGAGACAAAACTTTAAGGATAAGGTTGATAAGGTTAACATGATTCAAGATTTTTCAATAATACGAAATTGATCTGAGAATGCAAATTTTGAGGATGACCAAGTACATATGTGCGTTTGTATCAAATGGGGCGTCCAACTTCACCTTGGTTTTTGTAAATGCATGTGTGTGTAAGGATTCAAATCGAGCTAAGATATATTTGAAAGTGGTATTTCTGAAGTATTTTGTCCGTTATGACCGACTTAGATATTTGGGTAGTGTTGGACACCGGTGACAATTTTCAAGGATGGGGCACTCCAAGTGACAATTCGTTATTAGATATTACAGATTTGCTTGTGAATAGCTCTGGGGGTGCGTCACACTCATGTGTCACTTTTTAGCGGATAAGTACGTACGTAAGTACATTTGTACATAAGTACATTTGGAATTTTTACAGTGAAAATGGCTGACAATGGGTGATCGACAATGAGTGGTTGATAATGTTTTATACAAATAGATTAAATAGTGAAAATTGTAAAAACAAGGTTTGGTCAGTAATGATACACGTGCATGCGTACACACATATTTAGATATATAACGAGGTTGAATCGGTAACACGTGAACGTTTTTGACCTTAAATTACTGGTTGAACGGCTTGGAGTGGAGGTCCCGAACATTTTTTATGTAAAAGCCCTTTTCTCGAGCTACAAGTCGGCATCGGTGATTTCAACTTTTGTACACTGATTTGACCATGGCGAGGTCAACTTTTGACCACTCGTCTCTCAAAACTTTCCAAACTCCGTCAAAAGTTTTTGGGTGGCGGAGAAAAGATTTTATTTCAGATATCCAAAGCCGAAAAAATCCATGGGACTTACATAGGGTGACTTAATAGGTATTTCACTATCCTAGATGATTGTTATCCCGAGTCTAGCTTCTAAGTCCTTGGCGTAATCCTGGGTCAAAAGGGCGGTGTGCGATGACGCTGCGTCGTGATGAACTATCACTTTTATGGTGTCCTGGCCATTTAGTTTTGAGACATAAATCTCCAAAAGCGGTTTTAAAACAAAGTCAATATAGTACTTCGTAGTTACCTTCACTTTTTGTGGAACTTTGATAAGTGGGAGGACACCACGATCAGATAATGCACCTACCACCATGAACTTGTTGCAAAAGTTTTCCGTGTGCGGGATGGCCAATCTTCTGGAATTATTTTCTCCTTTGGTTGTATAGTAAATTTTTCTCTGACTGTTGGTATCTTGTAAGGAAAATAATTCTTCATCCAACGACACTAAAAAGCCACTTTTATCTCTTGTCAGGTAATTCACATAAATTTTTGTTGCAGGTCAGACGACTATTTTTTTATGCTTCCCAGTCAGCTGATTGACTTGGATTTTTCTTCTTTTTGGCTGCCCCAAAGTTTTAATTGCTCGACGCACACTAGTCTCTGACACTTTGGTTAGACGTGCCACTGCTCTCTGGGGTGGTGAGTTGCCCTTAGAGGTCAGTAGGTCAATTTTCTTAAGCAC